GGGCGGGAGCGCGAAAGTCGGCAAAAAAGGGAAGAATTAAAGGACCGCCTAGCCTGCGAAAACATCCGTTTCTCCTCGAAACGTCCCCATCGGCGAAGAGCGAGGAGAAACGGATGTTTTCGCAGGCTAAGGACCGCCTGATCGCAGGTTACAAGACAACATACATATAAACTCATTTTCCTTCGACTATAGGTCAGTATTTTCTATATAAACCTGCCAATTTCTTGTGTTTAATGAATGGCATTCTGATTTCGTAGAAATAAAATAAGTTCATCTTTAAACTGATTTGTGGACTTTTATGAGTAGTAAACAAAGTTTGACACGCGACTTTCATTAACAATAACGCTATTCGAAAAAAATTATTCCCGGGTAAAACTGGCTAATTCAATATCAACACTAGTTTCGTCCCCAAATTTTATTGTTTTCTTCGCAGTTGCCTAGGAACCGGAAGAAAAACTGAAAAATATGGGAAAACTGCATCAAAGTTTTTCTGTTCTGCTAGAAGATAATTCCAGCGAAGTCTACTTTCGGCGTTCCTTTCTTTCCAAGTGACTAATAGATAAAAAGAAGATCGTGCAAATAAATCAACTGCTAAACTTATCAAGTATATTATAGCGGAGCACTAGCACCGTAATTTTTAATCACTTAAAAGTTGGGTAGCTTTGTTGACTTGCATAGCAAATTTCAGATCACAACTATGGACAAGAGAAGTTGCTTTACAGGCGAAAAACATGTGAACTTTGTTTTCAATTTAGAATGAGGAAATCAGACTTACGCCTTTCCCACTCGATTAGATACCACCGACGATGGATTGTGGATTTGTGCTGTGGCTCAGTGTAGGAAAGCTACTGTAGCACAATTGTTAAAATTGAATCAATGAAATATTGTTTAATGATTTCAGCCACTCACAGAGCTTGACGTTTAGTTGTTCTACGAGCTCTTAAGAAAAGACTTTTTTAAACGATTAATAATTAACAAAGGCGAGGGAGTCCTCAAAATTAACGAATACTGCTAATGGCCATTGTCACTGAAAATGGAGGTGCATATTTTTAATATTCTACAAGCTTTGACTTCTCAGCTTAGCTTTTTTTATCCAAGCTCCTATCGTATTAGCGTCATAAGAGAGGTTTAATAGGTCTTGGCGGCCAGCTCCACTTCTTTATAATTAACCTTTTGAAGAATTAAAAGGACACAGCATTTTTTAGCATTGACATAATTAACGATGGAAAGAATTTAACCATAATCGTGGCCTCTCGCGAGAATATAGTAAAAAACACGCGAAACCAAGCTAGCCCGAACTAGGAGTTGTTTTGAAACTTTTAGTGCTTCAGAAGCGAATTTTTTTTCTTAAAATTATTGTGGTTCCAGAAACCTTATACCTTCATTGTTAAAATTAAATCGAGGCCTTAAACTGCCGGCAGCCTTAATTAATAAAAAAAAGACAAGAAAAAAATAAGATCTCGTGCAGGTTGAAAATCGGTTGAATATCTTGCCACCCTTTACTCGATTCACAGTATATTTTTTCTTCGTGTTTGTAAAGAAGGTCATGTTAGCACTATAAATAGTTTTCAATATAACAGTACGGTTCAGTTTCATCGTCAATCAATAATTAATTAAATTCACGCTCAGCGATTTTAATGAGTGACGGACCAGGTGATCGACAAAGAATGACAAAGTCAACTTCATGAGCCTGCATAAATTAAATACGGTAAGTTACCAAGCAATTACTTGTTGTCATTTGGAGAGCGGTATGGCGCACTGAAAGTTTCTTGATTTTCCGCTAGTTTCCCTTTTTGTACAGCTTGCTTTTGACTTCTCTGGTGAATTGTCTTTCTTCCCTAAGAGATTTCTGTTCCAACCAGATAAAAAGGACTGGACTGATTTTGTAAACAAACCTCTTTACAATTCAACAGCGATCGTTAACGAAAAGGAAAAGATGACGCACATTTTAACAAATCCGGGCTATCCAAATAGCCTTCGCTTTCGCTCCAAGTCTGTTGATGTACTGAGAGAGCACGAGAAACGAAAAGAGGGACTTCCAAAGACGGAATTCGACAAAATTCGCAGCCTTTCTCGGCAATCTTGGAAGGATACTTGGCAAGACCCTGGAAATCCGCTGCCTCGCGTGAAAAGCAACCATTTCGTTACCACATACTCAACAACTCACAACTACAGAGCGCTTCGGGAACTTACTCCTTGTCGTCCAACCTCGCCGACGAGAAGAAATAATCCACATCCAACAAGGTCTGTAGTGCTTTTGTTTGTCGAAGTGTTTATAATCAACCTATTGACAATAGGTTTGGCGAGTTACCTCGAGGACAACATTGGGCTTTTATTTGGTTTAAGTGGCAACATTGTATGGTATTGAGAGTATATAG